CTTAAAAACACCCAGCAGAGATGGAGTGGGGAAGTCCGGGCAGTCAAATGAGATTCTGATTGACCCTATTCTCTCCATCAATGAACTTCTGCTCAAAAATAAAGTCTTTCTTTTTTGGGTTTTTCGAGGCAGGGTTTCTCTGTGGCTTTGGAGGCTGTCCTGGAACTCGCTCTTGTAGACCAGGCTGGTCTCGAAATCAGAGAGATCGCCTGCCTCTGCCTCTCGAGTGCTGGGATTAAAGGAGTGCACCACCACTGCCCAGTTTCATTTTTTTTAACCATGGGATGAGCTATAGTAGCCTCTATTGGAAATGGTTTCTCCCTGTAGCTGTTCTCAAGGACATATTGTTTCTAGTTTGGGGCTGTTTTGTTGTTTTTCAGTCTCTCCATTCTAGAGCAAGGGCACCGACCAACCTGCCCCAGGACATGGGGGCTTGGAGGACACATCATGCACACACATACACTCCTCATAATAATCAAAACATTGTTTTCTAAATATTTATTTAATCTTATGTGTGCAGTGTTTTGCCTGCATGTGTCTAAGTGCACAGCGTGCTTCGTACCTGTAGCAACCAGAAGAAGGCGCCCGATCCCCTGGAACCGAAAGGAAACTGAATTCAGGCCCTCTGCAAGAGCAGCAAGTGCTCTTAACCACTGAGTCACCTCTGCAACCCCCACACAGTTTTCATGCCACGGAACCAATGTTGTCCTAATGCCAAAACCAGACTAAGACATCACAAGACCAACATGACTCATGAATACGGACACAAACACCCTGCACACATGCTAGCAGATGGAATTCATCAACATATAAAAAGAACTGCACATCACCAACCACAAAGTCAGATTTATCTCTGTGATTTGGAATGAGCTTGACGTATGAAAGTCTATTTGAGAATCAATAGAATTAGAAATAAAAGATGGAGAGGCTAAAGAAGTGGGTCAGTTGGCAAAATGTTTACTGCAGAAGCATAGGGCCAGAGTCTGGAAGCCCAGCACCCATGCAAAATGATGGGTATAGTGCACTTGGCTGTGCTTCCATGGTTGGTGAAAGGTTCAGGCATTACTCTGGCCTGCCCTGTTACCTGGCAGGATGCGCTCAGGCAACACTCTGGCCAGCCCAGAGTTCCATGAGAACCAGGCAGGTACAAAGGACCCCTTTAAAGGACTGACCCCTACCCGTTTATACTCTCTCTCTCTCTCTCTTTCTCTCTCCCTCCCTCCCTCCCTCCCTCCCTCCCTCCCTCCCTCCCTCTCTCTCTAAGTGGGATCGTTGAGTCGCAGTCTGTGTCTCCTTACTGGATAAACCTAAACATTTTAACAACAGTTGGGAAGGTAGAGACAGGGTCTATGGGGTTAGCTGGACAGACAACTGAGTCCAATCTATGGGCTCCAGGTTCAGTGACAGATACTATCTTTAAAAAAAAAGAAATCTTAGCCGGGCGTTGGTGGTGCATGCCTTTAATCCCAGCACTAGGGAGGCAGAGACAGGTGGATCTCTGTGGGTTCGAGCCTGGCCTACAAGAGCTAGTTCCAGGACAGTCTCCAAAGCCACAGAGAAACCCTGTCTCGGGGGGGAGGGAGGGGGGGGAGATGACTGGGTGGGTGGTGGGTGGTGGTGCACACCTTTGATCCCAGCACTTGGAAGGCAAAGGCAGGAAGATCTCAGTTGGAGGTCAGCCTAGTCTTCGAAGCAAGTTCCAGGACAGCTAAGGTTGTTACCCAGAGAAACCCTGTTGCAAAAAACCAAAACCAAACAAACATGAAGACATCTATTATCATGCATATAGGACTGATTGGAAATATTCCTCTAACCTTAGAGACACTCCTGAGCAGCAAGTACTCTAGCCCTCAGGCCCTCCATATCAGCGTGTTCTCTAGCCTTCAGGGTGAGAGGGTGGGAATAGGCTTGCCCAGGCCTAGGTCTTTTGTTACACAAAATAGGAGCCATTCACCCCTGGGGCCAGATACTGGAGGTAATCAGCTGGCATCTAAAAGATAATAGAAGTTCTGAACTCTTAGAATTTGTGGCTGGACCAAGCATATTTCTGAGATATTACATACCCCCCCCCCCCCCCGACAATACACACACACACACACACACACACACACACACACACACACACACACACACACACACACGGAGAATAATAGGTGAACAACACCCCACATTGGTCTCCGGCCACTACACACATCTGAACCACATACTCATGAACACACAAACATACACACTTGAGCCTCTTTGGTGGTGCACATCTGTAATCCCAAAGGAAGAGAGACAGGAAGGAAGGAAGAAAAGAGGGAAGGAAGGAACGAGCAAATGAACAAAGATAGGAAGAGTTGACTATGATGGTGCACACCTGTAATCCTAACATTCAGGAGACTGAGACAGAAAGACTGAATTCAAGGTCAGTGTGAGCTGTCTCCAACACCTTTTAAAAAAGAAGAAAAGCTGGTGTGGTGGTGTACACCTTTAATCACAGCTCTTGTGAGGCAGAGGCTACAGACTGAGTTGCTGGACAACCAGGCTTACACTGAGAAGCCCTGGAGAGAGAGGGGGAGAGAGAGGGGACAAAAAGTATGGCCATTTCAAAAGATGCAAAAATCTGACAGTTCCCTCACATTGGGGAAAAACTTCATGCTCTCACCTAAGATCAGGAACAAAACATGGAAGCGATCGTGACGCTCCTGGTGGGAAAGCATCTCGTTAGCAAGTTACTGATGTTAGAGTCTACTTCTGTGGGACTCCAGTGTATATTGAAGAGACATCCAGCCTCACTGGATTCTGTGGCCTTCTGTTGGTAGACAGTCATTGCTGGACTACCTGAACCACAGCCTGTAAGACATTCTAATAAATTCCTTTCTCTCTCCTGTAGCACTCTGGAGATATTAGCAGGGGGATCAAGGGCTCAAAGTCATTCTTAGATACTATCAAGTTCAAAGTCAGTCTGGGCTACTTGAGGAGTGGCAGGAGGGGGAGCGTGGAGAGATGGCCCAACAGTCAACACCACTTAACTGTTGCCATTCCAAAAGACCTGTATTTCTGTCGCCGCTGTTGGGTGGCTTACAGCGCCTGTGACTCAAGCTCCAGCAGATCTAAACCCTTCTGGGTCCCACAGTAACCTGCACACTTGGAGACACAGAAACACATAATAGAAATAAATATTTGGGGGCTGGAGGGATGGCTTAATGGTTAAGAGTACTGACTGCTCTTCCAAAGGACCAGGGTTCCCTCTGTCCCTAGCTGGTGAGCCAGCCACTAGAACACTGACCCTTCTAGCCCCTCTGGGCCACTGCCCCTCACCCTGTTAGTCCTGTGCAGAAGTGTAACTACTCTAACCAGCCAGCTTTACTATGCACTAGATTACCCTAGGCCATCAGGTCACCTTGTGGGAAACTTGCCTGGAAATTGATCCCCTTTTTGACTTTTAACAACCCTTTAGGTATCTTAAAAACAACTTTTAGCCGGGCGTTGGTGGCGCACGCTTTTAATCCCAGCACTCGGGAGGCAGAGGCAGGTGGATCTCTCTAAGTTCGAGACCAGCCTGGACCACTGAGTTCCAGGACAGCCTCCAAAGCCACAGAGAAACCCTGTCTCAAAAAAACCAAAAAACAAACAAACAAAAAAACAACTTTTAATTTTCTTTAAAGTAATACTAAAATTAAAACTAAATTAAATTACAATACTTCTTAGCCTAACCTTGAAAAAGTCCTTATCATTTCTGAACATAGATAAAGTTAAGAAAACAAAAAACTGCACACAGTACCAAAGGACCAGGGTTCAATTCCCATCCCCCAAAAGGCACCTCACAACTTCAGGTCCGGGGAATCCAGTACTCTCACACAGACACACATGCAGGCAAAACACCAATGCACATGAAATAAAATATAAGCTAAATAAATGTTTTCCTTGAGATAAAGTCAGTGAGTATACTCAGTCACTGGTAAATTTGACGAAACTATATTACATTCGGGTTTAGCAATTGCAAAGATGAACCGGGCAGTGGTGGTGCATGCCTTTAATCCCGGCACTTGGGAGGCAAAGGCAGGCGGATTTCTGTGAGTTCAAAACCAGCCTAGTCTACAAGAGCTACAGAGAAACCCTGTCTCAAACAAACAACAACAAAATTGCAAAGATGAAAGTCTCTTTCTTCCTTCCTTCCTTTCTTCTTTCTTTCTTTCTTTTTTAATTTTCAACACAGGATTTCTTTGTGTAGCCTAGCTGTCCTAAAACTCTCTCGGTTAGACCAGGTTGACCTTGAACTCACAGAGATCCACCTGACTCTGCCTCCCGAGTGCTGGGATTAAAAGTACGTACCTGATGTCTGGCTATTTACTCTTTAAGGCAGGATCTGGCTGTGTGACCCAGACTAGCCAGGACTGTACTTGAACCATTCTTCCCCAGCCTCCCAAACACTTTGTGCCCACTGCACCCTGGAGAATTTCCTTTTTTTTTTTTTTTTTCCTGTTAAAGACAAGACCTCCAAGTAGCTCTGGCTGGCCTTGAACTTGTTACATAACTGAGGATGACCTTTAGCTCCCAACCCTCTCGCTGCCACATTCCTGAGGACTGGAATGACAAGTGTGCACAACCACACCTCCACAGCTCTGGTTTTCAGTTGTTCTCAAGTCTGAACCTGTTCCAGAGCAGAGTGCAAACACTCTTTCCACACACCTTCCTTTCTCTTTCTCTCTCTCTTTTTTTTTTTTTTTTTTTTTTTTTTTTTTTTTTGGTTTTTCTAGACAGGGTTTCTCTGTGGCTTTGGAAGCTGTCCTGGAACTCACTTTGTAGACCAGGCTGGCTCGAACTCACAGAGATCCGCCTGCCTCTGCCTCCCGAGTGCTGGGATTAAAGGCGTGCGCCACCAACCCCGGCTTCTTTCTCTTTCTTGATGATCATGCTACTCTGGCCCTAACTCCCTCATCTGCCAACTTGAGCCTGTGTTCAACTTGTCACATTTTAGGTGACCTGTTCCTTTAAGAGCACCCCCCCTCAGACCCGCCCAGTCAGGCCGGATTTCCTGTCTAAACCCTGCCCTTTAAAGTTATCACTCCAACTTTCTGACCTGCTGTGTACAGAAACCAGAGACACTGAGGGATCCCGAGGGATCTGGGGTGCTGAAAGTAGGCAGAAGTGGGCTGTGTGGGGTGCACATAGATCCAGGGCTCTAGAGGGGAGGGGACCAGGGCAGGGAACATCCCAAGAGAAAGTAAAGTTTGAGGGGGAGCTGTTTGGGCTGTTTTTTCCCATACAGGACTAGGGACGGGAGGATGGCGGTTCTTCTCCCGGGAGCTACTTGGAGAATGCTGCTGCAATGGCCGCTGCCGCTGCTGCTGCTGCTGCTACTGCTGTTGCTGTTGCTACCCCCACTGGCCATGCTGCGGCAGCAGAGGTCTTGGGATGCCAGGCCATCCTGGCTGACCCGCCTCCAACACCAGGTGGCCTGGGGGGCACTGGGCTTGGCAGCCGCCTGGCACCATCGGAAACTGGGACAGAGCACACTGCACGTGGGCCAGAGCCAGCAGCAGGCCCTCGAGTGGTGTCTGAAGAAAGCCCAGGGTCCCTGCTGTCCCCCCAAGGGGAGCACAGGTGTGTGTTTGTGACACCTAGGGGAAGTGACCCAAAGAGGAAGAAAACACACACGCGCATGCACGCACGTGCACACACACACACACACACACAGATTCTAGACCCCTACGGCCCCTTCATTTACCACCAGTACTCTGTGGCCTGGCCCAGAGCCCTCCCCTGTCCTAGCCTTCACCCCATTTCCCAGGCCCTTTCTGGGTTCCTTCCTCAAGGATCTCCACATTCTTCTCACTTCCTGAGAGTTTCTGGTATTTTGGGGGTTACAGACCTGAGCACCTTCCGGAGTCATCGCCCACTGACCAAAACCAGCCAAGCCAAGGAGGAAGAGAGTGAAGAGAAGCTCCCGCCCCCTGCCTCACCCCAGTATCATGGAGAGGCTTCTCTGCAGGTAAACAGAGGCACCCCTACTCCACAGCAACAAACCCTTTCGAAAGATAGGCAAAGACCCACAGTAGTATCTGGGGTCAGATTCTGAAGTCTGAATGCCAGTCCTTTTTATATCCTTCCAGGCCACCCTGCTGGGTCTAGTCACCCTAAACAAGGCCTACCCAGAAGTACTGACGCCAGGAAGTACGGCCTGTGTGACCCCTACATCCCCATGGCCCAACTCTGTCCCCTGGCTCAGGCATGCCCTGGGCCGGGTAAGCCCCCTTGGAGCCAAGGACTCTCGGACCCTGCTGCTGGAGGCACTGATATCCCCAGGGCTGAGGGCCCTGGAGGCAAGGACTGCAGTGGAGCTCCTGGATGTCTTTGTGGGCCTGGAGGCAGAGGGCAATGAACTGGCTGAGGCCATAGCAGCCGGGAACCTAGGAAGGCCTCTCCCTAGCCGAGCATCTGAACTACAGGAAGCCCTGGAGCAGGGGCCCCGGGGATTAGCCCTGCGGCTGTGGCCAAAACTGCAGGTGGTGGTGACCCTGGATGCAGGAGGCCAAGCAGAAGCTGTCGCTGCCCTCAGGGCCTTGTGGTGCCAAGGGCTAGCCTTCTTTTCTCCTGCTTATGCTGCTTCTGGAGGTCAGCTTGAAGCAGGGATTGGATGCAGGCGGGGTTGGGGGCAGAGGTCATGCAGCCAGCTAGCTACCACGCATTGAGCAGCATACACATTTATCTTGAATCCTTCTCAATGCCCAGCCAGGATGGTACGGGTTACGAGCTCTGCCTGACAGCTGAGTATGCCAAGGTTCATTGAGACATAGCATCCCCCATAGACTCATGGGGTACCAGGATTTGTTTTCTTCTCTGACCCTGTGGAACCACAGCATCTCTGCTTGCCTCTACCCAGTCAAGACCAGGAGGGAGCAGGCTGGCCCTAGGGGTATCCAGAAAAGCTGGAGCAGGAGGACCAGATGCTCAGAGGGGCTGGGCTTATGGTCCACAGTGAGGCATTGGTTTCTGCTGTTGCTTGGCAGAGAGGAATGTACCACGAAGTTAACAAGAAGATTTTTTTGCTCCCTATAGGGGTGATGGCCCTAAACCTGTGGCCGGAGCAACCCCAAGGATTCTATCTTCTGCCCCCTGGGGTCCCCTTTATTGAGCTGCTTCCAGTCAAGGAAGGAACCCAAGAGGAGGCAGCCTCCACGCTCCTTCTCACTGATGCCCAAAGGGAGGAAGAGTATGAACTAGTGCTGACCGACCACGCTGGCCTGACCAGGTGATCCCCTGCTGGCCTCTGTCACCTCTGGTGCCCTGCCCTTGGGAGGGGACACGAGCTCACTCCTCTATCCCAACCCACCCATCAGGTGCCGTCTGGGAGATGTGGTGCGGGTGGTTGGTGCCTACAATCAGTGTCCTGTTGTCAGCTTCACCAGCAGGTAGGCGACCCTGGGGATGCCGAGGGAGGGGCCATCCCTGTGCCTCGGGTACACTTCTCCTCCTTTTTCCCTCAGGCTGGGACAGACTCTGTGTGTTCGAGGAGAAGTTACTGATGAGAAGATGTTCTCCGCTGCCTTGGCCCAAGCAGTAGGGCAGTGGCCAGGGGCCAAGCTGTTGGACCATGCCTGTGTAGAGAGCAGCATTCTGGGTAAGCCTTCCTAGCTGCTCCTGACCTCATGTCTTGGGTCTGTCTATCCCCCAACCCATGTTCATCCTGACCGGAGACTTCCAGAAAGGAGATTCAGCTCAGTCTTCTCCACTGTTGCTAACAGAAGTCCCTCCCTCTATGTAACTCCCATCCCACCCACTGCAGTCTCCATGCATTTTCATTCCTGACTAGTCTCAGATCCACGGGTCGGTTCTAGCTTTCCCTCTATTTGCTAATTGCCACCAAGAATTGTTTCTCCCCCTCCCCCGTGAACCTTAGAATAGGGAAGAAGTAAAGGCAGAGGCTGTTGGCTCTGGCAGCCGCCTTGTCCTCAGGAAGTGTGTGTGTGTGGCTTTGTCCTCAGACTCCTATGACGGTTCTGCCCCGCACTACGAGGTGTTCGTGGAGCTGAGAGGATTGAGGAATCTGTCCGAGGAAAATCGAGACAAGGTAAAAGATGAGACCAGGGTCTGATTCTAAGTCTCTTTTGTTCTGCAAGCCCTCCCCGGTTGTCATGGAGATGAGGGAGTGCAGAGAAAGGGGTACCAGGGAGGGGGGGCCCCTCTTCAGGGAATCTGGGAAGGGAGCAGGTCCTCCACACCAAAGCCCTAGGTGCGGGTAGCCTCGGGCATGGTTGTACACATCTCACACCTCAGAGTAGCCTCACCCCACTGTTCTGCCCTAGCTTGACAACTGCCTGAAGGAAACCTCCCCTCACTACAAGTCCTTGCGGCTCCGGGGCAGTGTGGGTCCTGCCAAAGTCCATCTGGTGAGACCAGGGAGCTTCAGAATACTCCGGGAAGCACTAGCAGCCTGCCCCTCCTCCTCCTTCCCTCCTGAAATGCCTCGGGTCCTCAGGCTTCGTCACTTGGTGCAGATCCTGCAGAAGAGGGTGATAACTTAACCAAGGCAGCTGTTGCCAGGCTTCTCTCTGCCACCTCGCCCTTTCCTCTGGGGCATCTCCAGATGTTCAGTCCTGGACCAGACATCACAGAATACTGGCCCATCAGAGCCACTGGGCCTTAGGGAGGCCTTTGGCTCATTGGCTAGTTTTTTTGTATGTTTTTGTTTTTTGTTTTTTTCAAGACAGGGTTTCTCTGTATTGTTTTGGAGGCTGTCCTGGAACTCACTCTGTAGACCAGGCTGGCCTTGAACTCACAGAGACCCGACTACCTCTGCCTCCCAAGTGCTGGGATTAAAGGCGTGCGCCACCACCGCCCGGCTCATTGGCCGGTTTTAAGGTGGAGGCTTTGGGCATACAACAGAACCCAGAAGTGCCCTACAACTTTCCCCCTCAGCCTACACTCTGTGACACTGATGAGGAGCTCTGATGCACCCTGGTGGCTTCCTGTATCTCAGCCCCTTTCATGTGCTTGGCCAGAGTAACAGCATGGGCTGAACGTGTGGGTGATGCTCCCAGAGTGGCTCCTTGAGGAGCAGGAGCAAATGAATAAAGACCTCAGCATCATTGTCTCCTGGTTGGAGGTATATCTTGCACAGTCTCCTGAAAGCATGAGGCTGGCCCACGGGAGGGATCCAGTGTTTAATATTCTTCCTACCAGCTCCTCCATCCGTCCCTCCCTTGCCCATTTTACCACTGGGCTCCCTGGATCGACTCCCAAATAAAACTCTTAAAAATATTTATGTATTTATTTTATCTGTGTGTGCCTGTGTGTGTGTGCACCATGTGTATGCAAATACCTCCAGAGGCCAGAGGAAAATAGTGAATTCATTGGAATTGGAGTTACAGGCTGAAGGCAGAGTTCGCCTGTCCTGGGAGCTGCTTCCAAATTACCACTTAGAGGCTTATATTACTTATGAATGTTCTTCCAATAACTCAGGCTTATTACTAACTAGTTCTTATATTTAAATTAACCCATTTCTATTAATCTACATTCTGCCATGTGACTTGTGGTTTGTTACCTCTTTTTTTTTTTTTTTTCTTGGTTTTCCAAGACAGGGTTTCTCTGTATTGTTTTGGAGGCTGTCCTGGAACTCACTCTGTAGACCAGGCTGGCCTCGAACTCACAGAGATCCGCCTGCCTCTGCCTCCCAAGTGTTGTTACCTCATTTTCTACATGTCCTGCTTGCTCAGCTGCTGGCTGGTGTCTCCCTTGACAGCTCTGACTGCCCTGACTCCGCCCTTCTCTCCCAGCATTCTCTCTGTGTCAGGCTGTCTTGCCCAATCTCTTTCCTATCGGCAATCAGCTTTATTATTAACAACGAGCATAATCCACAGCAATAGGCAGTTGAGAGCTGCTATGTGGGTGCTGAGAACCAAATGCAGGTCCTCTATGAAAATATCAAGGACTCTTGGCTGTTGAGTCATTTCTCTGGGCCTTCAAATAAAATTCTCATACTCAGATTCTGGACACCGCTGCTTTGAGAATGCTATGTGGGTTCCCAGGCACCCTACTTCAGTCATAGCCTGGCCTCCCCTCTGGAGCCCAGCCAGCCACCCCGCCCCACTGCCCTGAGATCCATAGCTTTTACCTCCTCTGTACACTGGCTTAGGTTAGTCCCAAGAGTGTGAGCACACAGGAGCTTCTGGAGGCTCCCACTGTGACTTAACACGACCAAGCAGACAGATGCCCTTTGCCCTCCCATCCAGGCACAGTCTGAAGGTGAAGGGGCTGTTTGTTCCCAGTTTCTCCATCCTGCCTCAGCACTGGGCTCTTTCCTGGCCTCGCCTACACAAATCACTTCCACGATGAGAAAGGAGGAAGCTAGGCTCCAAGTCACCAAGTGTCACAGCAGGAAGGAGCCTCAAAGCTCCCTGCAGAAAGTGCCCATGGCAGTGAGGGAACTAAGTCTCAAGGCTAGGAGGCCAAGACCTGTAGCTCCTCCCAAGCCAAGGCTGTGCTAGTCCTGAGCAGCATGCAACTTTCAGTTCTCTGAATCATTTCTCTCTCCTCCTATGTCCCGCCTGTGGGCTCTGCCTTCTTCCGAAGCCACTCCCCATCAGCCTTTTAAAGTCCTCCTATAATGACTGCCCAGCCTGACAGGTAAACATTACCCAACTTACCTCTCCCTTTAGTTCCATAGAAACTATGAGGATCTCACCCCATGCCGTGTGAGCCAAGTACTGTCACATCCAAGCCTTTCTTCACTTTTTCTTTTCTTTTTTCTTTTTTTTCTTTTTTTTTTTTTTTTTTTTTGGTTTTTCGAGACAAGGTTTCTCTGTGGCTTTGGAGGCTGTCCTGGAACTCACTCTGTAGACCAGGCTGGCCTCGAACTCACAGAGATCCGCCTGCCTCTGCTGGGATTAAAGGCGTGCGCCACCAACGCCTGGCCACTTTGTCTCTTCTTATACATACTCTGTTCCCTTACCTACCTAGCAGAAGCTACCTTTGAGCCCCCAACCCATGTCCCACCCAGAAGGAAGTGACTGTCCAATCTTTGCTGGTTCCGAGTAGTTCTTTCCCTGCATTGAACTATCCTTGGACCCAGATGCCACCCTCACCCCCCCAAGACTTGTGTGCTTCTTGAAAGTGGGGACATGGTGGCTGTGGCTGGGGAGATGGCTCTATAAGAGCACTTAACTGCTAAGAAAATGGGGTCACAGGCAGTGGTGGTGCACACCTTTAATCTCAGCATTGGGATGGTAGAGGCAGGCAGATCTCTAAGTTAGAGACCAGCCTGGTCTACAGAGCGAGTTCCAGGACAGTCAGGGCTACACAGAGAAATGCTGTCTTAAAAGGCAGAAAGAAAGAGAGAAAGAAAGAGGGAGGGAGGGAGGAAGGGGAAGGAAGGAAGGAAGGAAATAAGGTCACATCCTAGGCACACTGCTGTCACTGTACCCATGCGGAACTGATCTCCATCAAGAGATACTTAACCAGGCCTTGATGGAGAACTTACTTGGTCTGCAAGTGGCATGAGTCGATTTGCCCCATCCCATACCCATGACCCTCAGGCCTTGTTCTATGTTGGTTCAATCCTGGAAATGGCAGAGTAAGACTACAATATCCTCTTCTTGTGTGGCCCAGGAGACAGTGCTCTTCACCAGTTTCTAGAAACCAGGCTTGGCTGCTCTCTTACCCATTGCCCACAGAAAGTCTCCAAGACTTTCCATGGAGGAGTTTGGTGAAAGGGACAGAGGAAATGGAGATCTGCGGGGTGGGGCAGGGAGGGCAGTTCAAGAGCTGTTTCCATGGAGGGAAAGGCCCTGGAACCTGATGGACCCCAGAATCAGTGACAAGGAGCTGGGGTGGGGAGACTGAATTCTACCCAGGTATCCTCCCTATTCCCCCACCCTCTACATACCTTGGACAATGATTCTCAGGCTGCCACTTTTTCTGCCTCTAATTAGTAACCACCCCCTCCCCCATTGTCTCTGGCCAGTGCCCCAGCCACCGCCTCTTTTGTGAACTCAAGATTCCTGGGTACAAGGTAGCCTCATTAGTACCCGGAGACCGCCCCATCTCCAAGGAACAGGCAGACAGACAAGCGGGGGCACCAAGAGCAGAGCAGTCATTCTTTGGGCCCAACCTGGAGACGGCTCCACTGCAAGCTGCTAATCTTAGACATGCCTCTGTCTGGTTTAAAGTGGACGTAAATGCACACGTCTCCCCCGCCCCCCTCCCCACACACACCTCAGAGCACTATAAACCCCTGGCCCCTGGAAGCAGGCCACAGTGGACCACGGCTTCAGACTTCTTGGGGACCATCTTTCCAGAATCCCCTGCCCTGAGCTCCAGACACCATGAATCTTCCTTCTACTAAGGTAAAGAGCTAGGAGGAGGGCTGAACCTCATCAAACCAGGTCACTAGAGTGCTTGCCCAGGGGCTGCACCCAGGACGATCTTTCTCATGTAGCACTGAGGCAGGAGTCTGGGTGGGATCTTGGCAGGAGGCAGCCTGCTTGCTTAACACTAGGCATGCCATTCATTGTCTTAAAGGATCGTGTTTACAGAGCTTTTGCGCTTGTCAGTTTATATCTTCCACTCAACAGCCTCAGGTAGTAGGGATGGCTCAATGCCTACTTTGTAAGTGAGAAAGAGCTGTCCCAAGAGGGTGAGAAACTGGTCCAAAGCCACAGTGTTCAGTTTTTCCCAGCAAAGGCAAAGGCAAAGGCCGGCCGTGTGTGTACAGGGAAGGACTACACTAAATAAACCTTTTTTTTTTTTTTTTTGTTTTTCGAGACAGGGTTTCTCTGTGGCTTTGGAGGCTGGCCTGGAACTCACTTTGTAGACCAGGCTGGCCTCGAACTCACAGAGATCCGCTTGCCTCTGCCTCCCGAGTGCTGGGATTAAAGGCGTGCGACACCAACGCCCGGCAAATCCTTTGTTTCTTAAGCTTACCTGTTTCTTTCAGACAGACTCAGACACACCTGTCTGCAGGTGGAGGAGTAAGCCTTTAAATATGTTTACAGGGGACAAACTTATTCTGCTGGCAGAAGTCTATGAGGATTTCCTACAGATGGCTCGCCTGTAGATTGAAGGATGAGTTGAAGAAGGAGCCAGATGCAGGAAACTCAGTGACAGCCAGGCACAATTTCCGGCAAAGAGAGGTTTCCCAGCTGACTGAGAATGGACTGAAACCTATTTGCACTTTGTCTCTTGTCCCCTTAGATTCCCTGGGCTGCCATGATGCTGCTGTTGCTACTGCTGCTGCCGCCAGCGCTGCTGTCCCTCGGGGTGGACGCACAGCCTCTGCCCGACTGCTGTCGCCAGAAGACCTGCTCTTGCCGCCTCTATGAACTGTTGCACGGCGCTGGCAACCATGCGGCGGGCATCCTGACTCTGGGAAAGCGGCGGCCTGGACCCCCAGGCCTTCAGGGCCGGCTGCAGCGCCTTCTGCAGGCCAACGGCAACCACGCTGCGGGCATCCTGACCATGGGCCGTCGGGCAGACGCAGAGCTAGATCCACATCCCTGCCCTGGTCGCCGCTGTCTGACCACAACCGCCACTGCTTTAGCACCCCGGGGCGGGTCCGGAGTCTGAACCCGAATTCACTCTCTGTCCTAGCCCTATCTTCTCCCCTCTGCTCTATTGTGTTACTCTCTAGGAAAACGGCAATAAAAACCAGTCTCTGTTGGTGTGGCTAATCTTTGTTCCTGTGTGTCAAGTTCAGGCCTCCAGGGGGCGGGAAAGCATCTTGAGAACTATGAAGTCTCTAGGGCCCCAGAAGGAGCTTGTGTTTCTTGTCTCAAATACTTGGTCGGGAAGAATCCAGTGCGAGGAGCATTGACGAGTCCTGAGGTGCATGCTTGGGGCAGTGGAGTGAAAGTGAGGTACCGATGGGTCCCACGTTGTTCTGATATCTACTTTATTTGTTTATTTCTTTTAAAACTGGGTCTTGGCCAGGTAGTGGTGGCGCTTGCTTTTAATCCCAGCAGGCTCTGTGAGTTCAAGACCAGCCTGATCTACAGAGTGAGTGCCAGGATAGGCTCCAAAGCTACACAGAGAAACCCTGTGTCGAGAAACAAAACAAAACAAAACACACACACACACACACACACACACACACACACACACCAACCAACCCGAAAGCCTGGGTCTTATGTATTTCAGGTTGTCCTCAATGGCCAGAATGACCTTAAACTTAAATGACCCTTAAACCATGAATGATCCTACTCCCTCTACCTCCCCAGTACTGTTGAAATTGCCCGTGTGCTCCACCACACCTATCTTTTTTTTTTTTTGTTTTGTTTTTTTGTTTTTTTGTTTTAGGAGACAGGGTTTCTCTGTTTTGGAGGCTGTCGGTCCAGCCTGGCCTCAAACTCACAGAGATCCGCCTGCCTCTGCCTCCTGAGTGCTGGGATTAAAGGTATGCGCCACCAACGCCCAGCTACTACACCTGTCTTATGCAGTATTGGGGACTGAATGAACTTGGAGTATATTAAGCAAGCACTCTACCCTCTGAGCTACAACCTCAGTTCCTACTGTTTTGTAGTAGGGACCTGCATAGAGAGGCTCAGGGAAGCTGCACAAGGGAACAGAGTCTGACTTGCAAAGACTGGATGTAAGGTTGCCCAAAAGGCAAGGCAAATGAGTTTGCACGATGAGCCTTCCAAAGTGGTGTCGTGTACTGTGGAATGTGAGCAATGTCGTACTGGAAGGCCGGTGGGCGAGGCTGCGAAGCCATTGCATATGACCAGATGTTCACCAAATGGAAGTCTGGGATATGGGGCAAGTTTTGTGGTTTTTTTTTGTTTGTTTGTTTTGTTTTGTTTTGTTTTTTCAAGACAGGGCTTCTCTGTATTGTTTTGGAGGCTGTCCTGGAACTCGCTCTGTAAACCAGGCTGACCTGGAACTCACAGAGAGCTGCCTGCCTCTGCCTCCTGAGTGCTGGGATTAAAGGCGTGCACCACCTACGCCCAGCTAAGATTTCTTTCTGCGACTCCCGCAAAAGATGCCTGTTGGGCAGATCTCTGTGAGTTTGATCCAGCCTCATCTACAGAGCGAGTTCCAGGACAGCCTCCAAAACAATACAGAGAAACCCTGTCTGGAAAAACCAAAAAAAAAAAAAAAAAAAAAAAAAAAGATGCCTGCTGTAGGTTGAAGTGTGCTTCCCCCAAATTCACATGCTGAGGTCTTAACCCCTCAACATTTAGGAAGTGGCCTTGCTGATGCAGTCAAGTAGGATAAGATTGGAGTGTGGCAGACCTCTAATCTAGCATGAGTACTGCACGCATAAAAAGGGGGATTGGCTTACACACAGAGACTTAGGAGGAACTTAAATGAACATGGAAATAAAGACCAGGACAATGCACCCACAAGTCACCAGCAACCCTCTTAGAAGCTGGAGGCTAGCATGGAAAATTCTTTACAGCCTTCAGAGGGATCTAAGCCCTGAGTTCGGATTCTAACCTTGAGCTCGGATTTCTAGATCCCAGAATTTTTTTTTTTTTTTTTTTGGTTTTTCGAGACAGGGTTTCTCTGTGGCTTTGGAGGCTGTTCTGGAACTCGCTCTGTAGACCAGGCTGGTCTCGAACTCACAGAGATCCGCCTGCCTCTGCCTCCCGAGTGCTGGGATTAAAGGCGTGCGCCGCCAACGCCCGGCCCCAGAATTGTTTAAACCATCCACTCTGTGTCACTTTGCTATAGCCCTAAGACAGTAATATAAAATTCAAAAGTAGAGACATAAGGGTTGGCAAGACGGCTCGGTGGATAAAGGCCCTTACTGCCAAGACTGAAGAACTGAGTTCGATCCTGGGGACCTACAAGAAAGGTGAGAACCGACTGCGGAAACACCCTGTGCTATGGCATAGGCACATGTACGCACCCCCCCCACACTAAATAAATAAATAAATAAATAAATGAAACAATCCTTTTTTGAGAAGAAAGAAAGAAACATCCCAACTCCAGCAGGCGGCACTATCAAGCAGACACCAGTTCCAGCGTGGGTCGCGCGGGGAAACCCGTGGGGTGGAGCTACCCAGAGCAGCCAGGGAACCACGCGTAGGGGCGTGATCACCCTGGAAAGAAGGGCGTGGCCACCATCCGAGCCCCACCTCATCACCTCGAGCCTCGATAGTGGGCGTGTCTCCGAGTCTCTCCCCAAGAGACACGCGTGGGCCGCTCCCCTCTGGGAGGAGGGCCGCAAAGGAGAGGTGCGGGTGTCTCTAGCGGCCCCTCCCGGTGCGGAGCCACGTGGTGGGCGCGGGCCGAGCCCTCCGGGAAGAACCTGACCCGTGGGGAGGTGTTGGGGGGGTGGCTCTCGAAGTGCTGTGGGGAAGAGCTCAGATCTACCAGGTTCAGAGCAGAGAGGCAGCGGCGGCGAGAGGAGGGGAGGAGGCAGGCCGGCGCATGGGGCGCCCCGGCCCTGCCGGTAGCGCGCCCCCTCCGGCCAGGCCGCGCTGAACGCAGCCCGCGCAACGCCTCGAATCCGTACCCGGGGCCATGCCGGTCATGAAGGGGTTGCTGGCCCCTCAAAACACCTTTTTGGACACCATAGCCACCCGCTTTGACGGCACGCGTGAGTTGGGTGGGGGCTGGGTCAAGTCTCCTTGGGACAGGGTGGGTATCCTAGATCTGGTGTGATCAGGAGAGAGAGAATGGGGTGCAGGAACTCCTAAAATCGTGGCAAAGAAGCAGGGTGCAGAGCCCCGTAGAGTAGAAGATCAAGAGACCGGGGCGGCGGAGGGGGGGGCGGACAAGGTTAGGGGGTGTGACTCAAAGCAAAAGAGGCTCTTTGTGCCATGAGACGGCGGGGGGGGGCTTGGGAGCCACCCCTCCGGGGCAGAGCAATGCTGGGGGTGTACATAGAGGTATCTGAGACGTGGAGATGGGACAAAGTGGTCTGATGACTCCAGATGCCCCTGCCCCAGGAGAGACAGAGAGAGAGAGAGAGAGAGAGAGAGAGAGAGAGAGAGAGAGAGAGAGAGAGATCAGACTTAGGCAAGACTTGCTCTGTATTAAGGTCACGCGCCCCCAAATTGTGAGATATCTGCGTGTGAGGTGGGTGAGGCAAAGCGGGGGCAAGTACTTGAGGCCAAGGGAACTCTCTGCTAGCCCACCTGAGCCCTGAGCGTGATTCCCAAGTTCAGCACCCTGGACAGCCACAAAGCTCCTTCCCGGCCTCTTCTCCCGCCATTCCCTCTCCCAACTCTGGAACCCCCATGTCTTCCTTTGTCCATCTCCAAAACCCTAGCGGGCATTAGGAGGGTGAGGGAGCGGTAGCCGAGGGCGGAAACCGAGCCACCAGGGCCCTACCCACCCCCCACTCCAACCCCCCCCCCCCGCACCTCCCTTGTTTCCATAGCGCCAATCACCGAGGCAACGGGCCCTGGGATGGAAGAAGTAGGCTGATCCCAGGACCCAGTGCTTCCTAGGCACACTAAGTGTCCTGATCAGCCACCCCATACCCTGACAGTAACCTCTCCTAGGGTCCCTGTACTGTTTGTGTCTCATATCCCATCAACCGAGCCTGTCCCTGGGTGCCCTCCCACCCCCGGGCCTCTAATCCACTGAAGCTAGAGGGAGCCAACTCAGGCTCTGGTGCTGGGGGTGGCTGCAGCTCACACCTCAATGTCTTCTCCAGTTTGACTTTGAGCACCGGGAACAGATCCCCTGAAACTAGTTTAAAATATCAAAAAGCGGCCATTTCCTGGAAGGCAAGAAAGAGGATGTGTCTCCCACTGTCTTTCCCCCCCCCTTTAAGCACATTTGTGAGTTTGGAAATTGTCTGCCTTTTGGTTTAACAATAAGAGTATGATGTCATCAGAATCTTTGTCTTGCTCGTTACAAGAGGATGCCACGGTAGTTAGTATCCAAGGATGTGCTTCCAGAATTGAGTGGCTGGGAGGGGGTCTTTTACCTTTCTCAGAATAGCATTTACTAAGTGCCAAGAAGCCTTCTTCCCAAGTTACCTGATGCAACCCACAGCCACCAGGGAAAGGCACATTGTGTCCCAGTTTGCAGATAAGGAAGCTTTGGCACAGGAGCCGTAGTTAACTTGCCCAGACAGGAGTGAGTGCTGGAGCCCCTGCCAGTACCATTCTGTGTTGCTCTCTGAGGTCACAGCTCCCCAGCTTGAAGGCAGGAGCATGAACCACATGGCCTTATAGGATTCCTTCTCTAGTCCTCCGACAGGCTCCAGGCCACCCTCGGGTCCTTGCCCTCATTTCAGAGCATCCCTGAGCTCCCTTAGGAACCATCTAGAAGCTTCTAGCTCTCTGATCTCTGCCCACAACTTGTGGGAACTGTTGCTCATCTGGAAGTTAGCTCCTCTTTTGGCCTGACCCTGACTTCTCCCTCCTGTAGACAGCAACTTCCTTCTGGCCAATGCACAGGGCCCACGTGGCTTTCCCATCGTCTACTGCTCTGACGGCTTCTGTGAGCTCACAGGCTACGGCCGCACTGAAGTCATGCAGAAAACCTGTAGCTGTCGGTTCCTTTATGGCCCAGAGACCAGTGAGCCCGCCCTGCAACGGCTGCAAAAAGCCCTGGAGGGCCACCAGGAGCACCGAGCTGAAATCTGCTTTTACCGAAAGGATGGTGAGGAGCCTGACCTGGCTTAACATCTGCCCAAGTCCCAGGTCTCGTCCAGAGTCTGCTGGGCACAGAAGAGCTTTGGGGCTTATTTTGCATGACTACAAGCAGGCTGCAGGACTAAGTTCATCCCTTATCTTTTCTGGGCTTTGGTCTGTCCATTTGTAAATGAAGGAACCAGATGACAAATCTCTGGGTGTCTCCCAGTCTAAACATTTACCAAATCCTTTGACTACATCGAGAAAACACAGAGAACCAAAAGCATACACAAGACTGCTCAGACACCTCTGCCCTCTCTCTGTGCCCACAGGCTCAGCCTTTTGGTGTCTCCTGGACATGATGCCCATCAAGAACGAGATGGGGGAGGTTGTGCTTTTCCTATTTTCTTTCAAGGACATCACTCAAAGCGGAGGCCCAGGACTTGGCTCACCGGGACTCCATGGGGACAATAATCATGGTAATTATAAGTCTGGGTCACAATAGACTGCTCCACACACAGCGTCTTAGGATGCACCCCAAGTTATCTCTGTCTCTTTTTTCCCTAATAGAAAACTCCCTTGGGAGGAAAGGAACTAGCTCAAAACTTCGGTCCACCAGGAGGCAGAACCGGACTGTCCTACACCGGTTGACTGGCCATTTTGGTCGCCGGGGCCAGGGAAGCGTGAAGGCAAATAATGTGAGTTCCACTCCCAACTGGTATTTCCAAGTCCTCCGGCCCAACTCCCCGCTATCTTCTCCCTCTTTCCCCGCCTGCCCAGTCTCCCTCTGTTAGTTTGTCCCTCTGTCCATCCATTTCCCATATGCTACTTTCTGCTTTGTCACATATGCTCCCAACCCCCTCCCCCATCCCCATTTCCTTTTCTTCAGTAGGTGACTGACATTGCTCTGGGAATGTCTCAGGGCATGGGGGCTCTAGCAGTAATCCTCTCCCTAAATATAAGGGTTGTATCTTGAGGGATGAACTCACAAGCTGCTGTGACCTTAGGAAGAAAGCCCCTGTTGTGGACCCAGCACCCCACCCTATGTCCCACCCCCCAAGGACCCTGACAAAGCCAAGGGGTGGAGCCTCTCACCCACTTCTTTTTTTTTTTTTTTTTTTTTTTTTTTTTGGTTTTTCGAGACAGGGTTTCTCTGTGGCTTTGGAGCCTGTCCTGGAACTCGCTTGGTAGTCCAGGCTGGTCTCGAACTCACAGAGATCCGCCTGCCTCTGCCTCCCGAGTGCTGGGATTAAAGGCGTGCGCCACCAACGCCCGGCTCTCACCCACTTCTGCAGTCAGTTAAGGCTATAGGCTCTGGATCAGCAGGGGAAACTTCCTCCCTCAGGGCATACTCACCCCTCACTAGGTCCCTAGAACTCAGAAAGAACTACAAAGAAGGTATGACCCTTCAGGCTAGGACATTTGCCTGGTTGCTATAATCTTTTTGTGGAGGGCAAGGGTCAATCCATGTAAACACAGCTGATAAAACCTGATTTCTCCAGAAGGGTCCTGAGGGTGTTTTGTGGAGGTTTAACTGAGCGATAGAGTGCCTGCCTTGCAAGAACAAGTCCCATGGGTTCAGTCCCTAGCACAAGAAAGGAAAGAAAGAAGTAACAAGAAAGAATTACAAAACAAACCCTGAACAATAGCTTGGTACAGAGACAGAAGCGTCAGGTGCCAACATGAGAATTCCTCCCCCACCTCTCATCCCCTTTCTGGCTACCCTTTCAATGCCCACCTTTCCCCTTTCCCTACCCCCTGACTCTCCCTTCCCCCAGCCTCAACTTTTCTTTTCCCCAAGTGTCCCCAACCACCACCACTCTCCCTTTAGAACGTGTTTGAGCCCAAGCCATCAGTGCCTGAGTACAAGGTGGCCTCCGTAGGGGGCTCCCGCTGCCTCCTCCTCCACTACAGCATCCCCAAGGCTGTCTGGGATGGCCTCATCCTCCTTGCCACATTCTACGTTGCGGTCACAGTCCCCTACAACGTCTGCTTCTCCGGTGATGAGGACACCCCCATCACTTCCCGACACACCCTTGTCAGCGACATCGCCGTGGAGATGCTCTTCATCCTGGGTCAGACCTCTTCCCTACTAACCTGGAGGGTGGGCTATGGGGACCCACCCTGACAAGCCTTCTCCCCTGCTGGGCCTGCAGGACCCCTTCCCTAGCTTGAAGGGTCTTACCTTCTCCTTGTAGTTCTTTCTGAGTTCTAGGGCCTAATGAGGGGTGAGCATGCCCTCAGAGGGGGAAGAGGCTAACACTTCCTCCGTAGACCCTGTGAGTCCTATAGAGCCTAGTGCCCTGCAGCCTTCACTCTGTGGCCTTTCCTCCCTATAGATCAGCCAAGAGTCCCAGCTTTTCCATTCTGGGTTTCCAGTGTTCCTTCACAGCTTGCTCTGTTTATTAGCTACCTGACCTGAGAGTCCAGGCCATGGTCCCTAGTAACAGCCTCTTGCATTCCTCAGATATCATCTTGAACTTCCGCACCACCTATGTGTCCCAATCGGGTCAGGTGATCTCTGCTCCTCGTTCCATTGGCCTCCACTACCTGGCCACCTGGTTCTTCGTGGACCTTATTGCTGCTTTGCCCTTTGACCTGCTGTATGTCTTCAACATCACCGTGGTGAGTGACCCCCCATCCCACCATGCATCCTAGCATCTGAACTCCAACCTGGCATCTCCCATTAGAGAGGCAACCACAAATCCAGCCACAGTCCTTCCTATCAGTTCATATGCAGATAGATGCCTCTCTGACTCTGCCATGGGCACAGCCCTGAGCCAGGCACTGGGAAGGAGCCCAAAGGGTCTATGCTCTTGGAGAACTCAGCTCACAGTCTTTGAGGGAAGCTGAGACAAACGAAAAGCTAACTATGACTACCAAGGCGGCGTTGGTGCGATGCCAGATGAGTGGTACTTTTCACATTTTTTATTTCACAAACAACTGATGAGCATTTAGCTGTCTGCAAAACACTATATGGGGGGCCTGGTCACTATGGTAGAAAGAGACAAGGAGCTGGCACTCAAAGCCCCCCTCAGATTGGTGAGGCAGACGAGAATAATGGAAGGAGGACATCAGCCACAGAGTTGATGAATGGGAGTGGGCAGTAGCTGCATGAAGTCTGGACTGGCCTTGGAGATCTAGGCTAGAATGCCAGCATATGCAAAAACGTTCTGAAATCAGGCCAGCACCCGGGGGCAGAAGCATCCCAGTTGGGCAGGGGCTGAGGTGGTCTGGGAAGGAACTGTTCCTGGAGGAGGCAGGAGCAGAGCTAAGCCTCTAAGAGTGAACAGGATTTGGCTAGCAAAGGATGAGATGCCAGAGAAAGTCAAGGCAGCGAATCAGAGCCGAAGGAGTGTACCTGGGCCTGTGTTTTCACTGGGGACTGTTTGGAAAAGCCCTGGGTGGTCAGGATGGAACCAGACAGTAAGTCTTCTCTAGTCCAAGGTGAGGCAGTCTTGCCTTGTGTCCCCGAGCCCCCTCGCCATTGTGGGAGAGGAGAGGTGGAGAGCAGTTTTCCTGTGTGCTCTCCCTGCTGCACTCAGCTATAGCAGGAAACCACCTACACGAAGCCGGATTTAACTAGCCGCCAACGGGCTGTGGGCCCCTTCTACTGGCTGTGCACATGTATGTGCACGCTCCTACACACGTGCATGTGTGCGTGTGTGTAAGTCTGCCCTGAGGTCCTGACCATTCAGAAAAGGGCTTCCTGACTGTCCTCAGTCCTGTAGCCATGCCTCTATGCCCACCAACTAGTGTCAGCCTGCCATACAGCTGTCCTTGCAAGAGAGGGCTGCTACAGAGAGCCACCAGTCCCTCCTCTCCCGCTGTCCCCTCTTGTCTGGTACCTTTGGGAGTGCTTTACAGATCTGTAAGATTTCACACACCTATTTTCACACATGTCATCATGTGGAACCCTTCGGGGAAGGTTCTCCACTCTTTTTTAAATGTTGATATGGAAGCTCAGTCAGAAGGAGGTCTCCAGAGTCCTAGATAATCTTTCCCATATACAACCTGCTTCCCGCCGGGTGTTGGTGGCGCACGCCTTTAATCCCAGCACTTGGGAGGCAGAGGCAGGCGGATCTCTGTGAGTTCGAGGCCAGCCTGGTCTATAGAGCTAGTTCCAGGACAGCCTCCAAAGCCACAGAGAAACCCTGTCTCGAAAAAAACCAAAAAACAAACAAACAAACAAAAAACAAAACAAAACAAAAAAAACAACCTGCTTCCCAGGTAGTCAGGATCTCCAGATGTATGGCTTAGGGAGGGTGAGGAGCAACGCTGGACAGCCCGAGAGAGCTCGCACTGAAGCCGAGGTGCAGACACTGACCAGAGTTATAGAGTCAGAGGGGCCGTGCCAATGATACTCTATCCAAAGGAACGATGACAAGAAAGGTCCCTGAGGGTGTGGGACATAGAAACAAGTGACTTCGGGGGGCTCTGAAGTGTTCACGTTTGGGAGCCGATGTTCTGGGGCTGGAGGCAGTTGGGTTACATCTTAAGACTTTAGTAAAGGCTTACAAGGGTTCCTATTGAAGAACCAGGGCCACCTCCTTCCTAGCCCCTTCACTTAACATTAGAGATACACGAGGTGGTTCTGGAGCAGTACCAAGCCTTTGTGATATGCTGCTTCCCTGCTCCCCGAAAGTATGGTGAGGGCTTTGTCTAGGTCCCTCGAGCCTACAGCTCTAGCTGCTTAGCTGCTCCTATGCACATATAACCCCTCCAACCCACTCCTTGTCTGCCATATTAGAAGGTCTTCTGGAAGTGTTAATAATTATAACAAAAAACAGCACATTTGGGGATATGGCTTCATGCCTTTAAAAAAGAAAGAAAGAAAGAAAACTTGTCTAGAATGTATAAGGTCCTGGCTTTGATCCCTATATTCCTTTCCCCATAGACGTAAAATTAACATGTTTCCAGGGTCTTTGCTGGACAGTATGGCTCCACCAGTCTCTAGCTCAAAGCAGGTGCCCTCAAGCCATGCGTTCCTTCTCACCTGTAGCTGGCCACGAGGGGGAAAGCCCTTAGCCTCTGATGGTCCTCAGGCTCCTTGTTTGTTCCCATCCCATTCATCCCACTTTTCCACGTCCGTTGCCAACTCCACTCCGATTGTTCCTAGGACACTGGAGCTTTGAACAGGAATCTTCAATAGATCGTTCAGTCTACCCCCCCTCTCCCCCAGCTCTGACCAGGGCTTGCTTCTTTTTTTTTTTTTTTTTTTTTTTTTTTTTGGTTTTTCGAGACAGGGTTTCTCTGTGGCTTTGGAGGCTGTCCTGGAACTAGCTCTTGTAGACCAGGCTGGCCTCGAACTCACAGAGATCCGCCTGCCTCTGCCTCCAGGGCTTGCTTCTGAATCACCCCATAGTTCTATGAGGCAGCTTAATCCCAAACAGACTTGGTGCCCATCATCTTGGACTTGAGTTGCATCTCCATTATTTCCTTGGTCTGTGACCTTGGCTCACATTCACCATCAACAAATCGGGACCTGGGATGATAACTGGACCACCGGCTTGAATGTTGTTTTGTTTGTGTTAATGAGGATTACATATGCCTAGCACAGTGGTCCTCGGTAGCTAATTATTCTTTCCTGACGTATTCATTCTACAGTCACTTTCTCAGGACAACAGTGACAGTTTTTTGCAGCCTCCCCTGGCCCCAGGGTGTCTGGTGGGGGGTGGAGGGTGGGAGGGTGCCATGTAAGGGCTCTGGGGAGTTGCACCTGGTGACAGTCTCCCTCCTGCCCACCCGCAGACCTCACTGGTACACCTGCTGAAAACAGTACGGCTCCTGCGGTTGCTGCGGCTGCTGCAGAAGCTGGAGCGGTACTCGCAGTGCAGCGCAGTGGTGCTCACGCTGCTCATGTCCGTCTTTGCTCTCCTTGCCCATTGGATGGCCTGCGTCTGGTATGTCATCGGGCGCCGGGAGATGGAGGCCAATGACCCGCTGCTCTGGGACATTGGTGAGCCACCAGTCCCAGACTTTCACTTGCTGCCTCTCCACCTGTCCTGTCCCCACACTGATGCCACCAGGACTTAACACCTCCCCATCCCAGAGACCTCGAACCACCCTATAAAATGCCCTGTGCTCGTTCTGGATCAAGTGTGGGACACCAGTTTGAAGAGAAGGGCTCTGCTTGGGGGAAACTGCTAGCCTGGCTGGGAAGGAGACCAAGATCAGACAACAATAGGGGAAGCAGGCTGATGGAGAGAGAGTATTTTGGACCGAGGAAGCAGTGTGTGGAAAGGCTCAGAAGCGATTCGTGGACTCTCTGCCATTGTTAATTCCTCCTTAGCCACAGTTAATGGGGCCGCTGGCCAGGAGGCAGCCCCAAGCCCTCAGTGTTTCCTTGGAAAGTAGGTCAGGTCCTAGGCACTGTTCTTGACACCTTCCTCTCCTTCAGCCCATACCTGACCCACCACTTGGGTCTGGCATCTTCTCTCCAATCTCTACTCCCTTGTCCATTCTGCCCACCTTCCTCTCTTAGTGACTCCTACAAAGGACTAATGGGCTCCACTGTTTTCCTTGTCTTCTTGTCCTCACCCCTCGAACACTTTCCTTGCTGCAGCCAAATTGGTCTCCCATGAGTCAACACTGGAGGCCTGGAGAGATGGCTACAAAGACTGGAGAGTTAAGAGCACTTGTTGACCTTGCGGAGGACCTGGGTTCAGTTCCTAACACCCATATGATAGGTAGCTCACAGGGGACCTAATGACCTCTTCTGACCTTGCAAGCGCCGGACACACATGGTAAAAATACATAATGTGTTGGCAAACACTCATACACATTAAAAATAAAATAAATGTATCTATAATAATTTTTAAAAACATAGATACCCTCTCTCAGCTCCTACCTGAACCCTTACACTAGGTCTCCACTGCTCCCAAACTGAAGTCCATGCTTGGTGGTCCAGTGTCCCAGGCGGCTCAATATTCCCACGACTCTACTTCCTGTACAGCCTGTGGACACTGACTGACCTCCTGGACCTGACTGGCTGCTTTCTCACTCTGGGTTTTGTACATGTTTTCCTCCCTGGGAAGCCCCATCCTTCCCCATGATGAATTTTCTATACCCTGAGCTTCAACTAAAATGTCCTAAGAGAACCATGTCCCTAGGATCCATCTTGGCTCCCCTAACCTTATGGTTTCTAACACACTCTACTTTAGTAGCTTGCCTCCCGCCTGACATAGTTTTTCTTTTCTCCTTGACACTGTTTACAGATGATAGCGGGGACAGGCCTGGCTGGGTCAGATCTCAGCACCCTCCCTCCAACACACACAGGAAACACACTGTAACATACTAGGGGGTTGAAGGTCAACAGTCAAAGGAGTGGGCAGCCTCGGAGTACAGCTGTGGCCAGTTCATGGCCTCCAGGCCCAGTAGCAGCAGCTCCGCACCGTTCCTGTCTCAGCACAAACTGTCCCTCTCCTTTGTAACTATGAATCCAGACAGGCGGATCAGGACAATGCTTTCTCCAATGCTTGTGTAGTCAGCCATGATTTCCTTCTTCCCTCCATACCACAGGCTGGTTGCATGAGTTGGGCAAGCGGCTGGAGGAGCCCTATGTCAATGGCTCAGCAGGCGGACCGTCTCGACGCAGCGCCTACATTGCCGCGCTGTACTTCACGCTGAGCAGCCTCACCAGTGTGGGCTTCGGCAACGTGTGTGCCAACACCGATGCTGAGAAGATCTTCTCCATCTGCACGATGCTCATAGGCGGTGAGGCCATCACCCACCACACCCGGGGAGCCCTGTAAATACAGGCGTGTGCCTAGGGAAACTGAGGCCCGGTGAAAGCAAGGTGCCCCCCCCAAGTCCACCCAGTCACGTGTTCCTTCATAGAGCTTTCTTCATTGTTCATGACTGTACCCGTAAGCATGAACTGTGACCTCTTTCCAGAGGTGAGACACCCGAGGTCATGACCTAAAGAGGTGATGAGATAGGAGAGTACAGGTTGCCCCATCTATGGATTGCCACCGACTTTCCCCGCCTCTGATTGCTAGATGTGCTCACAGGAACCCGCTAGCTCTCCTGTGCGCCTCCCCAGAACCTCTGAGACCCATCCGAGGGAGGGTGATTCTGGGAGTACAAGGAGCAAATGGAGGGGTGATTGCCACTGATACACTGCGGGTTGCCACCTACGCAGCACTGATGCACGCAGTGGTGTTCGGGAATGTCACAGCCATCATCCAGCGCATGTACTCCCGACGCTCGCTCTACCACAGCCGCATGAAGGACCTCAAGGACTTCATCCGAGTGCATCGCCTGCCCCGCCCACTCAAGCAGCGCATGCTGGAGTACTTCCAGACTACATGGGCTGTTAACAGCGGCATCGATGCCAATGAGGTAGTGTGAGCAGGAGCCCTGTCCGGTCGCGAGGCAGTGCGGTGGGGAAGGGCTACTGCACCTCCAGGATTGGAATGGAGGGAATCAGTGCGTACAGAGACATGGGGCTCTTAGCAAGGATGTGCACCCAGCCAAATCCAAATCCCTTCCTTTGGTGCTTAAACATGGAGGTTGAAAGGAAGTAGAATGCTTGAGTCTGGATGTAGACGGACACCTTGCCCTCTCTGGGCTTCAGACTCTCCATCATGGTAGGCATCACAGTTTCCTCCCAGCCTGTGGTGGGCCAAGCTACCATTTTCCATTCATTCTCCATATCCTGAACATGGTGGGGGATGGGGCGCTAGAGGTGTTTACACACCACAGCTTCTGCCCTCAAGGAGACGCCAAGAAAAGAGAGAGAGGTAGACAGGTGCAAAGAAACACACAGTGAATGGAACCATACAGCAGTGACATGCCTGCAGTAGGGCCCTCATTGTGTCTGAGTCCAGAAGAGACAAGGAAGATGGCAGAGAAAGTGGTACAGCATGGTCAAGAATCAGTCTGTCTAGGGAAGACCATTCCAGGCAAAAAAGAGCAATAGCAACCTAGGTTCGTGAGTGCTGGTGAAGCTGAGTGAATGGGTCCAAGGATCTGAAAGTTGTTGAGTGAGCCTTGGAGAAGAGGAGGTTGTACTGGGAGGTGCCAGCGCCAGAGCTGGGGCTGGGGCAGCTGCAGTCCCAGAGAGTGAATAGTCTTGAGTTTGCAGTTTTATTCTGCTGGATGCTAGAATGGGGTGTGGCAGAGGGTGGAGGATGAAGCGGATGGTAGTCTTGACTGGATAGCATCCACAAGAGCAGGCAATTTCCAGTTGGTTGCAAGAGAGCAGCTCACAGTGATGCCTAGGACTGACTTGGGGTCAAGGGATGAGATGAAGGCACCCCAGGAGAAGACTAGGCTTATGGATGAAGGTGAGGGTCTAGGGCTTGGCCATCAGCCATATGCAGAGTCTGTGGGAGAATGGGGTGGAGGTTGTCCCATCAGCTGGTTGTAAATACACATGTGAAGCCATTGTTAGGCTTTCAGGCATGAGTAGTGGGGAAGAGGGGCTGGTTGCCATGATGTAGGAGAATGTAGAAGTAAGAAGTGATTGAGGGGATGGACTATGCAAGGAGCCTTGGCAAAAGCCCAACTCATTTACTGATTTGAGAAGTGACTGCAGGGGGATGGCCAGAATGACCTCTGCCTCTTATGCAGTTACTGCGTGACTTCCCAGACGAGCTTCGAGCTGACATTGCTATGCACCTGAATCGGGAGATCCTGCAGCTGCCGTTGTTTGGAGCAGCTAGCAGGGGCTGCCTTCGGGCCCTCTCCCTGCACATCAAGACCTCATTCTGTGCTCCTGGGGAGTACCTGTTACGCCGTGGGGATGCCCTCCAGGCTCACTACTATGTCTGCTCTGGCTCGCTTGAGGTGCTCCGAGACAACATGGTGCTGGCCATCCTTGGTGAGAACCCTACCACCACACACTGCCCATCCTAAGACCTTCCCCAGAGGACTTGAGACTCTCCTGGGGAGACCCCTAGTGAATACCTAGAATGCCTACAGAGGAGTATTCTTCCTTGATCCCTTCATCCAGTACAGTTCCCCTTTGGCCATTCCCCCTATTCTCCCCTTTTTGCCCCCCCCTTAACCCACTGGCCCCTCACCAATGGCTGTCATTTGGTCAATTCATCCTATTCCTTTGCATCGTCTTCCAGTTCCATTGTTGCTTCCCCAGTGACTCTAAAACCCACTGACCTTTACCCTTGAACTGACCCTTCTGGCCATTCTTTATTGATCCTCCAATTCTATTGTCCATTTCTCCAGCACGACTGACATATCCCACTAGCTGTTGTTGCCCAGCTTCACCAGCCATTCTCCATGGGCCTTATCTGAGTTCCCTGATGGCCTCTTTCCAGCGCCCTTTATTAACTCTCCCTCAACCACCCTTAGGTACACTGACCATCTCTCAGATATATGAACCACCTCCCACTGATGTACAGCGTTCCCTTCATCCAAGCTGACCGTCCCTTCCTTTGCTCTTAGGGAAGGGGGACTTGATTGGGGCAGACATCCCTGAGTTGGGGCAGGAGCCTTGGTCAGGGGCAGGCTGCGTGCTGAAGACCAGCGCGGATGTGAAAGCACTGACTTACTGTGACCTGCAGCAGCTGAGCAGCCGAGGGCTGGCTGAGGTCCTGCAGCTGTATCCAGAGTATGGTGCTGCCTTTCGGGCTGGCCTACCCCGGGACCTAACCTTCAACCTGCGCCAAGGCTCTGAAAACAGTGTATGTAGATACTGTGTGGCTGTTACCACCACCAAAGTACCTTCCTTCAGAACAGACCTCCTCCAGTCCCAGAGAAACCTCCCTCCCTTCTCCCCCCCCCCACCGCGAGACAGGGTTTCTCTGTGTAACAGTCCTGGCTGTCCTGGAACTCACTCTGTAGTAAACCAGGCTGGCCCTGAACTCACAGAGATTAACCTGACTCTACCTCCCAAGTACTGGGGTTAAAGGCTTGTACTACCACCACCTGGCCCCAGAGAGCCTCTTGCATCTCTCTCCTCCCTAAAAACATCACCTCTAACTCCAACTTCCTTCTTCTGTTTCTTCATATACACTTAGCATCTTCCCAGCCCACAGCTCATGGGCCTCGCCCAGCCCCTTGACAATCTCTTACAACCTTCAATTGCTGAGTGCCTCTCAGCCTCACTCTAGCTTCGTGAAGCCCCTCTCTGGACTCTTCCACACCCCACACACACTGAGTTCCTCTCCTCCATGCTCGTCCCAATGTTTCCCACTCTGTTTTAGGCTGATAGTCCATACCTTAGGGCTTGTCTTTTGTTACTTTGGGTGCTCACTTTGTCACTCTGAATTCCGGAGTTAGAGTTGGTGGTGTCGGGCTCAATCTCATGAGAAGGCCCTGTGTGCTCGGTCTCCTAACACTGTTAGGTGGAGTGAAGAGGGGCTGTACCAGGAGACTGGAGAGGTGAGAGTCAGCTTAACCCCGCTCTGTCCTCACAGGGCCTCAGCCGCTTCTCACGCTCTCCTCGCCTCTCCCAGGTAATACTCAACTTCTGGGTGCGGTGAACTTGTTCTGTGGAGAGGCTGGGAGGGGGGCGACATCCCTTGGCTCCTCTGAGCAGTGCATGGTGCTGAGGGTTGCACCCCAATGAAGGGTCCTATTGTCCATCGTCCGGTCATATCTGCTGCTCCCTCTTCCCACAGCCACGCTCCGACACTCTTGGTTCTTCCTCAGACAAGACTCTGCCATCCATCACAGAAACCGAGGGTGGCATGGAGCCTGGGGCTGGTCCCAAGCCCCGTCGGCCCCTCCTGCTGCCCAACCTCAGTCCAGCACGACCTCGGGGGTCCCTGGTCAGCCTTTTGGGCGAGGAGCTGCCCCCATTCTCAGCCCTTGTCTCCTCTCCTTCCCTGTCCCCATCTCCTTCCCCTGCCCTGGCTGGCCGGGGCCAGAGTCCCTCCCTGCACAGCCCCCCCAGGGGCTCTGCTGCCTGGAAGCCCCCCCAGCTCCTCATTCCCCCACTGGGAACATTTGGACCTCCGGACCTCAGTCCCCGGTGAGATGCCAGCCTTCCTTGCCTTTCTCATATCCCTGCTGGCTTCCAGAACCTTCTTTGGGCTCCATTCCCAGCGTTCCAACCAGTGCTCCTTACTGTCTCTGCCCCATTTGCCAACCCTGCCTTTCCAATCACAGCTCGCAATCCCATTCTGCTTTGACCACTGTTCTTCCCCAGTTTCCTGGCTCTGCTTCCCTCATTTACCTTCTGCCTGCTCTGTTCGGGCCCTGGACCCTCCCCATGGTGCTGATGAGCACTATTCTACCCCTAGGATAGTGGATGGCATTGAAGACTCCAGTAACACAGCTGAGGCCTCTACATTCCGATTCAGCAGGAGGCCAGAGTCTACCAGAACTCGCTCACAGGCTCCCCCTTCAGGTAAGGAAACACAGTGACTTCAACTCACAGTCATTCATCTGTCCATCTATCCATCATCCACCCACCCATCTACCATCCATCTACTCACCAGCCATCTATCTGCCGCCATCAACCCATCTATCCATTCACATACCCATCCATCCATCCGTCCGTCCGTCCGTCCATCCACCCACCCACCCATGACATGTGTGTTACATATGATCCTAGAACTATACAGTCAAACCAGATCCTGCCAACATTTTAGCATGGGGTGGGGGGTTGGGGCAACACCTGTATACACAGATAACAATTCTAGAATTATAATTATGTGCTAAGTTCTACAAATGAGAAAAGAAAACAGAGTTTGTGGTAGGAATGGAGGGGATGCTTTGGTTACTTCCTAAATGGGCTGTAAGGAGTCAGTGACACGGTTCAATGGTAAAGGTAAAGCTGGATGAGTTGAGTTTGATCCCTAGTGCCTATATACTGGGAGGAGGGAACCGACTTCTGAAAGTTGTCATCTGATTTCTACACGAGCACTGTGGGGCACAGGACACACAACTATAAGTAAGCAAGTGTAATTAAAAAGAAAGAGCATAGCCCTTTGGAGAAGTGGAACAACTCTGCCAACATATAAAGGCATACACAGAAGAGACACTACACAGTGTTTGGATGCCAAAATGCCCTGTGCCTACAGCTGGGGGTGGGGGTGGGCTTGGAGGAAGAGCCAAGGCTGGGCCTCACAATCAGCTTCTGGGCTTGGTTTCCCCATCTCTCTGATGCCAGAGCTTTCTATTCCTTGCTCCCTGCTTGTCAGGCAATAGAGAGGAGTGAGGACTTGGGCAGTCATGCTCCATGAGCTCACCTGCATCTTTTCACCCTGTTCTGCCTGCAGGCTCCAGGCCCGGCGGGGAACTGGCTGCAGAGGCAGCAGAAGAGGTGAAGGAAAAGGTGTGCAGGCTGAACCAGGAGGTGGGTATGGTTTGGCTCTTCCCTGCCAACCCCAGAGAATGTGGTCTTGGGGTCTGAGAGAAGCATGTCATGTTCTGGAGCTAGCCAGAGTCCTGTGTTCAGTTAGTCGCACTAGCTAAGTGACCCTGGGTGAGTCCCACAGTCATGCTGGGCTTATTTCCTCACCTACAAGTTGGAAAAATAATATGTCACACATGCCTTCAATCCCAGCACTCTTAGGAGGCAGAGGCCAGGCTGCTCTACAGAGTGAGTTCCAGGACAACCAGGGCTAAACAGAGAATCCTGTTTCAAAAAACCTAAATAAATAAATAAGTAAAGTGTCCTTCCCAGAGCGTGAGGATGAGACAAGAGTGCACATGTGTCTGGTCCACTCCCTCTGCATCTCAGGTACTCAATGACATCTCCTCATCCCACAACTGTCTCCGTTTACAGCCAACCAAGCACCAAGTCTGATGCTCAAGGAAGGCTCAAGACCTTTCCCTTTTTACCTTTACCCAGTCCTGGGACCTGGGATGTGTGTGTGTGTGTGTGTGTGTGTGTGTGTGTGTGTGTGTGTGTGTGTGTGTGTTGGGGAAGGGTCAGCGGACAGGGAAGCTGAGAGGTTTTTAAGCTTAGAGGACCTGTGCGCGTATGGCTGAGTCTTGGTCAGCAAAAGCCCAGATGCTATATGCCTAGGCTAGATACTGCCTCTACTTCTTTCCCAAGGGATCTCAGTATTGTCGACACATAGCTACCAAGCCCAGCCCCTGGGAGTCACCTTGCCTCTGTTCTCATAAACAGCTGGCAGCTCAGAGAGGTGGCACCTGTAGAGCTATCTACAGTTCACAAGGCTAATGGCAAACCCTGCTTCTGCTCCCTGTCTCAGGCTGCCCTCATTTCTAGGCCAGTGATTTTCATATCTGACTTTGAATCAGAACTACCCTTTAAAATACAGGTTCCTAGGGGCTTAACTAGTTTGGAATGTCTGGGGTGGGGCCGAGAGCTCTGCATTTCTGACAAGTTTCTCAATGGATTCTGCACTCATTAAAGTTTGAAAAACACAAAGACCCTTGAGCTTGTGTGATAGGCTAAGAACAAGGCTATGACGGAATGTATTTCTCTTTATGTTATAAAAAGGCATGGGAAGCCAAGTGTAGTGGCTTGTGCCTGTAACCCCTGAACTTGGGTGATAGTGGCAAGGCGGATCAAGAGTTCAGGACCATTCATGGTTATATGGCAAGTTTGAGGCCAGCCTGAGCTATCTGAGACAGTCTCAAAGAGATGGCCGAATTGGTAAAGTGCCTGCCATGCCAGTATAAAGATCTGAGCTCTGATATCCAGTGCACACATAAAAGCTAGTCATGGTGATGCATGTCTTTAGCACCACCACTGGGAAAGGTGTGCAGGCAGGGCCATACTGGGCAGCTAGTCTAGCTGATTGGTGAGCTCCAGATTCAGGGAGAGACTCTGCCTCAAAAAAACAAAACAACAAAAACATAGAGACCGATAAGAGGAAGCTATCCGATGATGACCTCTGCTCTAGAGGGACACCTGCACTCAAGTACACACACACACACACACACACACACACACACACACACACACACACTAAATGCATAAAAAGAGGGAGCAGGGAGAGTAGTGTCTGCTGCTGCAAATGCATTTGGAAATCAACTGGGGCACTTTACCTGTTACAGCCCCCGCTCCTTCTCCCCAGGTGGTTGTGGGAAGACAGTGGTTAAAGAAGTTTGTAAACCATAGTGTGGGGATGGGAAGTGAGCCTGGTTATTGTTATGGCATCCTCAAGACACTTTGCTATGTTTTCAACAGATCTCCCGCCTCAATCAGGAAGTGTCTCAGCTGAGCCGGGAGCTGCGGCAAGTGATGGGCCTCCTACAGGCCAGGCTGGGTCCCCCAAGCCACTCATCTGACTCAGCTAGGGCCCCAGACCTTCCTTGTCCCTACCAGAGGCCACCATGCATCTCTCCTCATGTGTCTGGACCCCCACCGGGTCTCCAGGATACTACACTGGCTGTGGTTCACTCTCCAGCCAGTGTGGGGACAGTGGAGATAGGGGCCGCCCCCTCAGAGCTGAGACCTTCCACGGTGGCACCCTACCCCTCAGAACCTGATCCTCTCGGACCCTCTCCAGTGCCAGAGGCTTCTCCCCTGACCCCAAGCCCCATGAGACACAGCTTCCAGTCTGGGTCAGACACGTTCCACTGACCCTGGCCATAGGCCCAGGCCTGTCTGGGGGTGGGTATCACCAACCTGCCATCCAGGGAGGAGCTGGGCTCTTTGGCCTCTTGCCTTGGGGTCAGCAGCCATCAGCTGGTCTGGGTGGCTCTGGATTCTCTGGACTTTTTAACAAAGAGTGGCCACGTCTAACCCTGTTCCATTTTCTAAACCACCCCCCATCCTCCTCTTCTGTGAGGGGAGCCACCACCTGAGGCCATGGGATCCAGCAGGCATGAAATGGACCGTGGTGCCCTGCTGGGCTGGGCAGATGAGATGTCCTACTTTCTTCCCAAGACTTGGAGGCAGGTATAGACTGGGAACAAAAGGATGGTCAAGAGCAAGGGTCTAGCCTAGAAAATAAAGGCTGTGATTAGACCGGGCAGGGCGATAGTGAGAGGGACAGATAGTGTTATGGAGCTCTTCCGTCCCAGAATCTGGGTCCCTTGCCAAAGATCCTGAGAACAGTGTCACCTTGAAAGGAGTGTGTTAGATGCTAACTGTTATTTGAGAAACCCAAGACATCTTAGGCCTCCTATTAGCACCAAACTGGAGGGGCTCACTTCATCCTACAGCACACACAGAAAACAAACTAATGGCATGAGATGTGTCTTTGACTCTAAGAACATTTTTTCCCAATTAGTTTTTTTAATTAGTTATCAACATCAAACTCCAGATAATAGTCACAAAATATTCAGTACTCTAACTTCTCGAGAGAAAAACAAGGCAGCTACCAAGAGTCAACATTCATCTGGCCAAATCAGTAATCACCTGGTCTTGGGTGGCTGAGAAATAGTCCCCATTTCTTCACAGCCTCCTGTTTGTTCATCATTTCCTGATGCCCAATTAGCTTCCCTTATTTGTTAGGTCCCTGTGTTATTGCAATTTGCAATCCCTGCCTTAGAGTGGACTCCAGGGGGGTCTTAGGAATGTCTTGGGCTTGAGCCTATCAATATTTCTGTTTCTGTCTCTCTGCAGGCTGTCATGCAAGGTGGTCTCTTCTACTGTCAGCAGCTCAAAGCTTCTCTGGCATCACCCTTTTGCCATCCCCACCTCCAAACCCCAGCCAAATCTGGCTCCTCTCCCTTCCAACATGGTCTCAACTGAGGGTCTGGGTAGCTCAGACCCTGCCCTGGCTTCCAGCTTTCCTTTCCCACTCAACACCCCAGGCTCGCTTTTGGATAGGAAATAAATTTTTATTTTTGTACACCTTGACTCTGTTTCTGGGGGTTGATCTGAGAGCCCCAGGGCTTTGAAAGAGCCAACACAAGCAGACACACCCCACCATACTCCAGGGCCCTGTTACTGTCTCTAAGAAGGGCAAAGGCGCCAGCCAATCCACTTGGCGCCATGTTCACGCCACCAGGGACTCCTGGGATAAGGGAGAAACCTTAATGAGTCACTAAGGACTTGTTACACTCCTTCCTCCCCACCACCCAGTTACAACCATAAATACACAGTATGTGGGAGATACCAAGCTAATCTCTAGACTTAGAAAGATAGCCCCAGGAGTTGCCCTGCCCTCCTGAATAAAGAACTCTTCTCCCCAGGTATTTGGTGTTGAGCTAGGTAGAGTGCATTATCGTGGGCAGGTAGCTGGAGGGAAGAACTTATCTCCAGTCAAGAACCTGCTAAGAATGACTTCTCTCAGCTGACATCATTTCTATGAAGATCTGTGCATGTCCTATGGTATATATGTTGTGAGAAACTGGTGCCTTGATGACAAGATGAAATTAGATGTGCGTACAGCATTGTGGCAGGTTGTTCCAGACAGACTCAAGATTTCAGGGTGTGACTGGTGCCGTAGGCACAATGGCCACATGATCTCTGGGGTGGGCTTTGGTTTCGTATAGGCTTTTAATAGTGTCCGAGAGAGAGAGAGAGAGAGAGAGAGAGAGAGAGAGAGAGAGAGAGAGAGAGAGAGAGAGAGAGATGCAGAAAGAATGGATGCTGACCACTGTTGGAGGTTGGGACTGAGCAGAAGCAGAAGTGATCCTAATTCATACAGAAGGAATTAGAAGAAACAGAAATAGGACTGACCCATATTGGCTGGAGTGGGGCTGGGGTGGGGGTGGGGTGGTGTTGTCTACAGTGATAGGTGGAGAGAAACCAGGCAGAGGTCGTTGTTTAAGAGTTAATTCTAATTGGGAGTGGAGGTAGCCCTGGTGTGTTTGGGAACTGAGCCTAATAAAGAAAGCTTAGTCTGTAATGGTGTCGCACACACCTTTAATCTCAACACTCTAGAAGCAGAGGCAAGAGGATCTCTGTGAGCTGAAGGCAGCCTAGTCTACACGGCAAGTTCCAGGTCAATCAGGGCTACATAGAGAAAAACCTAAGCGAAAGGAAGGAAGAAAGGGAGGGTGGGAGCCTATGACAGTCAGCAGAAGTTCTCCTTTTGATCCCAACTAGGATCCTCCAAAGAAGCCCTCCTTTTTAAAAATTACATTTCTTCACTTACTTGAGGGGAGGGTGGGTGGGCTCTTACATGCTATGGCACACATGTAGATGTCAAAGAACAACTTGTGGGAGTCTGTTCTCTCCTCATCCTAGGGATGGAGCTCAGTCAGGCTTGGCGCCAAGCACCCTTACCCACGGACTAGCCATTTCTCTAGTTCTCTAGTCCCTATGGAGCCGTTTCTACAGGACTTCACCTTTCTCCCGCTCCATCTGTTCTTTTTTTTGAGCCAGGGTCTTACTAAGTAACACCCACAGACATCAGCTAGCCTCTGCCTTCAGAGTGAGCCACCACACTGGGCTCCATCGTCCTCAGCAATCAGCCTGTCTTGGCCGCAAAGTGTGGACAGGGGCTTCTCTAAGTTGCCGAGTGCACACCGTCTACGCGGCCTCATTGAGCATCATATTTCTCGTTTCTCAATTCTGCAAACACAGAGTTCTCTGCCCTCTTGCAAAGCTCCGCCACACGCCTTTCCTCGCGGCACCTGGAACTGGCAGTGACGCGATAAGCAGGCCTGGACCAGCTCCGCCCCATCAGCAGCGGGTTCCTCCCTAAACCCAAGTGCCCGGCAGCCTCCGGCTCCTCCTGAGCTGAGAACTACAAGTCCCGCCATTCCTCGCGCGCACTCTCCCTCCTTTCCCGCGTTAATTGTGGGTAGGATCAGAGTGCTTCCCATTGGCCTGTCCTTTCTGTCAGTCACTTGGGACTATAGAGAGGCGGGGCAGAGCCGGAGATCCGGATCCGGAGCGGCTGAAAGGCGGAAGTGGAGGCCGGAGCCTGGGACACCGCCGGGGGGGAGAGGAGCGGAGTCTGTAGGAGCCCCGGCCCAAGTAACGCTGCCGCCCCGGAGCCGCGGTGAGTGTGCCTGTCTCAGGGCCAGTCTCTCGCCTGCGTGGAAGCCTCCCTGGGGTGCCTTTTCCTTCTGCCCAACCTTAGCTTAGGGGGACACTGACCCCTCCCCCGACCCGTAGCCCCCCTCTCAGGGGCTTCCTAGGGCGTCGGGCCAAAGTGGGAGCCCCTCTTTCCTTCTCTTACCTGCCCTTCGGGAGCCTTCAGAAGTCCTCTAAGCTCTCCTCTGGCCTGTCCAGTCCAGTTGTGGGAGAGAGGGACCCTAAGTTCCGCTCCCCACCCCCTCGCTTTCAGAATCAGAGTCTTTGCCAGGTGTGAAGGCACCTGTCTCCCTTCCCTTTTAGAAGTGGCAGGGAGTGCTGTCTCTCCTGGTTTTCTTTCCTGTGTCTCCCCAAAAATCCCACCCCCCCAAAAAACCCACAGTTGTCCCCTGCACCCCTGACAGAATTTTTATCTAGATTTCCTCTAGTGTGCGCGGGGATGGTGGGTGTCTGAATAAGAAGGTTCCACACGCACAGAAGTGTGTTTGCGCTCTTACAGTTCCTTACTTCCTCTCGAGTTTGATTTCTGGGTCACTTACAGGGAATCGGCAGCCCTCTCCCTGTGCTGCTAGTCAGGCCCCCAACCCTGTCTGTGTTCTCTCAGTGTGTGTCTTCCTGCCTCTGGAGAATTTAGCTGAGCTTTGCTCAATCCTAGCGACAGATCAGGGAGGATCTGCCCATTCATTATCTTCTTTCTCCCCTCCTCCTTCCCCCTCTCCAGGGTTAGCCCTGTCCTTCCAGAGCATGTGAGTGGTTTCCTTAGAGGGACTGCTTGCTGTCTGCTGTTCCCTAGGGAGGAAGATAAGGACCAGTCCACTCCCAGTCACACAACACTATACACCTGAGCAACAGGTCCAGGCTTCGCCAGAGTCTCCACTCTCTTCTTGGCTTGGATTTACCACAAAGCAGCTAGTCCAGAACACAGTGGCAGCTCTAGTTTTTGTCGGTGAAGGAATTGCTTTATGTGCCAGAAAGTGCCAGTTCCCCCAACTGTATTGACGCAGGATTCTTGTGTTTTCCTTGGGACTGAACTGTGTGAAATGAATGGCTGCTGTCTCTGACCAAGCTGGAAAGTTGTTTTGTTAAGTGGCCAAAGTACAGGCCAGAGACTACCTTCCTGAGGAGTAGCCGGATTCTGAGGCCACACAACTGACCCTTACTGTCTGCTGTGGAGGAAGATTGGGGAAGCCATTCAGTCCTTGGGCATTCCTGACCACCTTAAGACGCTTACCACACAAAAGCTAAGTTTGCTTTGACATCTTTCTGATCTCCTTCTGGACAGTTGCCAGTGTCCTGTTAGTACAACATTTTAAGCTAATTCTGTGATGTATGTATTTCACTTCTTATTGGACAACAAGAAATTCCTTCCTTATTAGGGTCAACAGCTAGATGAGACACTCTTTTCTGTGTGGGCTCTTTGGGGACTCCCTCAGCCGGCCTAGACTCTCTCGTGTTCAGCATGGGCTCCTGAGAGGAGAACCAGTGAACCGTTTCTGCTCAAGGGGATTGGTCTCTGCTAGACTGACCTGCTCAGGAGTGGATTGTGATTCCTGGGGCCCTGGCTGAGGCAGGCGAGCCCTCTGAGCTGAAGCGTGTGGCTACTCTGCGGGAGAAGGAGAGCAGCAGTGAGAGGGAGCCCCTCCCCTGGGAGTTTGCTCTTTGCCTCCCCTCTTACTTCTCACACCTAGTTGGCCTTTCTTCCTGTTCACTCTAGGAGGAGTCTGAAAGCATACGTGTGTATCTCATTTATAAGATACAGAGAGCCAGAGTTCTTCCCATACGTGTTCCTCACAAGTGTCCTGGAGATCGTGTATTTGTGTTCCCACCTTGTTTACCATTCTTCCATAGGACCATACAGTTAGAAGTGTTCAGACCCAGTGTTCGGAGCTTGGGCTCAAATGTAACCTTATCTTTTCTAAAGCAGGCTCTCCTCCTAGCCTGCTGTGCTTGTAAATGAATGAACTTGCAGAAATAGTGAGCGGGGGTGTGAGTGCAGGCTCTTGGCCTTCCTCATCATGGCCTTCCTCTTTGGCTTCCCTCTCTTTCCCAACGTTCTACCCTCTTTTTTCACTCCCTTCTTTGCTGTGGAGACCATGACAGTTAAGAGTCCCAAGCCTGTATTCTTCAGGGCCCAAGAGTTTCCTAATGTCTGTGTGTCATTAATTTCTTCAGAACTTAACTCAAAATGACTAGAAAATGAAAGTAAAAGTGGTGAACTGAAAACTTCAGGGTCCCCTTAGACAGGATTGAAGGGTTGTGCCTTCTGATTCCCCTTTGATGTTGCCTGCTGATTTTGACACAGAGTCTCATTGTATAGTCCTTGGCTGGCCTGGAACTGCTTTTGTAGACCAGGCTAGCCTTGAACTCACAGAGATCCACTTGTCTCTGCCTCTCAGGTGCTGGAATTAAAGATGTTCAACATTATGCCCAGTTTCAAACTCACAAATTCAAACCGAGTTCCCCCAAGCAAGCATTCATTTATTTTCTGTCTGTGTATGTGGACACACATCGAGAGGACCCCCTGTGGGAGTCAGTTCTCACTTCCACCATGTGGGTCCTGGGATCAAACTCAGGTCTTCAGACTTGGTGGCATGTACCTCTGGCTGCCAAAGAGTCACCTCACCAGCCCAGAAAGAGCCTTCTTAGTGGGTTGAGCACATAGCTTTGTTGGTGAGGCTTGCTTGGCATGCATGAGACCCATCTCTGCACTGTATAAACCAGGCTTGTAGGCACATCTGTGGTTCCAGCACTTGGGAGATGGAAGCTGGAGGGTCAGAGTTTAGAGTCATCCGCCGCTACGTAGGAAGTTGGAAGCCAGCCTGGGTTACACGAGACTCTGACTCTTTGTAACTATTGCTCAGC